TGACACAAGCGGGACTCTTGGAACCACTCGCTGTCCCAAAGAGACCTTGGGAAAGCGTTTCTCTGGATTTCATCACCGGATTGCCCAAGGTCGGAGACCTCACAACCATCTTGGTTGTGGTGGACCGGTTTTCCAAGTATGCCACCTTTATTGCAGCCCCACAATATATATCAGCAGAAGATACAGCTCGACTCTTCTTCTCTCATGTCGTCAAATATTGGGGCCTGCCCAAAGACATTGTTAGTGACCGCGACTCACGCTTCACTAGCAACTTTTGGACCCAGCTCTTCAAGTGCCTTGGGTCAAAATTGAGTCACAGCTCAAGTTTTCATCCGCAATCTGATGGCCAGACGGAGCGGTTCAATGGTATGTTGGAGGAATATCTCCGCCACTTTGTAACCGGATCGCAGAAGAATTGGGTGAAGCTTCTGGATGCTGCTCAACTGTGTTTCAATTCACAAAAGAGCTCTAGTACCAACAAAAGCGCTTTTGAAATTGTTACCGGACAACAACCGCTACTCCCACACACTGTGAATGCACCAAACATGGCTAAATCTCCTCGAGCTGCCAGCTTCTCAAAAGAGTGGAAACGGAATTTGGAGATAAGTGCGGAGCTATGCTTGTCAAGCCCAAAAGCGGATGAAAGGCATGCTGATCAGAATCGTCGGCTTGTTGAATGATCAAGTAGAGACAAAAGTGATGGGTCAAGAATTCAAAGGCGGTACTTATTTGCAGGGGTCCATGACCATCGCCTATTGCAAATACATTGGACCCTTGTCCATTGAAAAGCGTTAAATTGGAAAGCGTGCATACCAGGGATGGAAAAATACCCCAAAAGCGTGGTGGAAAATTCAATCGACTCTGTCTCTTCCATGGTAGATCCCCTGAACTATATATAGCGCGGGAAATAGACCGGGAGAATCCTTAAAGGAGAGAACCAGCTCACAATACCCAGTATTCAAAGAGTCCCAATCAAACGGGAAAAGGCGTGTTGAAGCTATCCTTGATGACAGAGGTGATTCATGCCTCAAGGAAAGATACCAAGAGTTTTTTGTGAAATGGCAGGGCTGTGATGCAGAAGAGAATACTTGGGAGAGGGGCACCCGCTCAAAGCTACAAGAGCCTCATTGAAGATATTTTGGCAAGTAAGGCGCCTGAGAGATGTCCGCCAACTCAAGGTGGGGGGAGAATGTCATGGGCGGCTTTTCCAGCCATGCCCCATGACCCCTGTTGGGCGCGCCCCGTGGCGTCCTAAGCAAACTTCCCAATGCCTAGCGCCACGGACGCCCCGTGGTCTTGGCCGCGAGCCAAGTGACAAGCGCGCAGGGCCTCTATCGCCCCACACGATATCCTCGCGAGCGCCAAGCCGCAGGCAGAAGCCAACCAAGCGCCGCGCGCGCAGACCGTGATGCAAAAGACACTGCTGCTGACACGGACCTGCTGCTGCTTATAGAAACCTAAGAGTCATTTTCATTGTAAATTATAGAGTATTTTATTTTCATGTACTATCCATTATGTTTCTCGTAGCTTAATCAAGTCTAGTCTTGTAACTTTGGATTATTTTTTTAAGTACTATTAGGGGGGATCAAGCAATCAAAATTTCTAGCAAGCAAGCAATTCTCTGTACTGTGTCTCTCCCCTCGACACCCGCGTTGCTTTTTCTGTATTAGCTTTCATTAATGCAATCAAGCTCTCTTTCATTCTGAATTCTCATTTCTGTTTCTCATTGCTCTTGAGATTGGTTTTGCCGTAATGGCACTGACAATCTCGTCTAGCGTACGGAGGGGAACCTCAGTTTGGCGGACAGCAACTGCACTGACATCAGTTGCCTAGACTTACGTCGCCCTTCCAAGGAATCTCAGGAAGCGCCGGCGTAACTGTACATATAAATGTCCCACCTGGTAGTAAACTTCGCCAAAGTATCAATTGAAGTTGGGTGTACCCCCTTATTTGTTTGCACTTCAACGGAACGTTTGAAGTCCGAATAATTCGGACGTCATATCCATTAGTAGCTTGTTTGGGTCAAGCTTTTTTTTGGGCAAAAATATCTTCTTTTTTCAGGAAATTTTATCTCATATAGCGAAACTTTACACCTATTTTATTGTAATAAAAACCCTTTTTAAAATTATTATTTTCTATAGTTACCTTTTAGATTTTATAGCAAAAATATGTATTTATAGTCACTTCCTACCGTTAAGCCATTAAATACGCTGTCTAATATTTTTCTCAATCATTCTTTCAGTTTATTCTCTCCAAAAATCACCGCATAGCATCTTATTTTTCTCTCTACGGTCTCTCTCTTCTCTCTCCGCTCGCATGGAGACCTAGTAGCTGCCATGGCCGTTTTCCAATAATTTTTTTGCTTCCAAATTTCTCTCCCCAGCTCTCTCCTTTATCAGCTCCATTGTCTCCCTCAATAGTTGTTTTAAAATATTCACCATTGTTAGGTTTTCTACAGAATATCCACTAAAGCACTCAATTTCGAAGGGCCATCTTTTGATACTATAAAAGCTTTGTTAGGGTTTCTGCAGAATACCCACTAACGCACTCAATTTCGAAGGGCCATCTTTCGATTTGCAAATCACTCAAGAGGTTCCTGTATTTGCAGGTTCATCAGCAACCATTGAAGTGAGAACAAAAATACGCAATGACCCTAATTGTAGATGTATTTATATGTATTTGAGTCCGAATACATTAATTTTTAGTTTGTACAGTGATTTTTTCTTCTTGTATTTAGATGTATTTATATGTATTCGATAAGGCATACACTGATTTTTATTTTGTACATTGATTTTTGATTGTTGTATTTAGATGTATTTATATGTATTTGAGTTCATACAACAATATTTTTAAATACATTGTTAGTTCTATCATTTTGATGTTATTCATCGATTAGTTATGCATTCAATCTAACTGTATTTATCTGTATTTTCAACCTAACTGTATCCATCTGTATTTAAAACAACAATACAGTGAAATACAGTAAAATACTCTCAATACAAATAGAAAATCAATGAATACAACCGATGAAATATACTCAATAACGCAGTAATACCATGTATTAGGAATAAATAAAATATAATAAATACAAAAATAAACTTGAATACATTGAACACAACTGTTAGATACAACATAATACAAGCACTAGGTTTATTATGAAATATGCAGGCAGTAGGTTACTATTACAGGTTGTATCCGGCATAAATACATGATGTATTCATATACAGAAAATCGAATACAAACACTAGGTTTATTATGAACCTCTAACAATGTTAGGAAAAAAAAACTCGAACTGTATCCGAAAAAAGAGGGACCAAAACTATGAAGAATGCTCTATTTTTTTGGTGTTTAGTGTCTGATAAATCTTCTCGTTAATTGGATTGATAATGTTGTGTGATATAATTGATTTAGGTGAGTTATATTAGGAGTGTATCCCATTAAATTAGCATATTTCCACTATTAAACAAATGGAGAGACCTATTATTACGTTGTATTCATGAATACATGGTATGAATACATGTGAATACAGCGGCTGACAGCTGGACTGCCCTATTTTTTAGCCGATTTTTGCTACTGTATTCATGAATACAGTAGCTCGAATAATCGAATACATTACCATAACAATTGAAAGGTAGCTACGAAGAGTAATTATGTATATAGTAGCTATAAGAAGTTAATAGCCACTAAACAATAGTCATTTCTGAAAATTCTTCTTCTTTTCAAAGTAAATATGTTTGGCCAAGTTTTTTGGAGGAAAAAAGTGTTTTTGATAAATTTTTGCGACGCAGAAAAAAATAGCTTCTTTTCAAAAGCACTATTTTGAAAAGCACTCTGAGAAAAATACATTTAGAAATAATTTTTAAAAGCTTGGCCAAACACTAATTGTTTCGCAAAAGTACTTTTCAAATCAATTACTAAAACACAAACTACTTATCATCAAAAGTAATTTTTTGAAAAGCACTTTTGAGAAAAAATATTTTTCAAAATAAACTGATTTAAGAATCTTGGCCAAACAGGCTATTTGTGTTTTTGATATTTTTTAGAAAAGATTAACCACCTAACAAATACATAATCTTCATTGTAGTAACAAATGGTGTCACTAATGTCAATCAACAACCTATCACAAACAGAAAGGAGTATTTGCATTGATTGAGTTTACAGCCAAATATTTATAGATATATGACATAAAATGCTAATTGTGGATAGACAATTGTAGATGGTTGCAGAAAAGATCAATCCGAACTAATCCTTATAGAGTCTCGAGCAACTATAAAAGATGAATACAACACCACGTCACCAACTCATACAATATATACGAATCGTCTTTATATATTCTATGTGTTTCTTGTTTATATTAAGTTCAGTCTTTTCGTTAGTTTTAACTACTTTGACCATCTCTCATGAATATACTAGTTTAAGCATCAAAATATGGTTAATCATGTCTTGATTTTTTTTCCTTTATAATTTATCGTACTACCATTTTGTCATATAACACACAAAGTTTTACAAATGATATACTAGGAACTTTTATTGTTTCTTGAGCGCTTAGTATTCAATGAATACTCTTTTTAACTAATCAAGATAGGTCCAGTTTAGATAACAACCATCAATAAAAATACTCTTCAATAAAGCCACACATAACTTCACGGTGTTAAAAGAAAAATCTACTTGCGGATCTTGTTTATTAGAATTAGGGTATTATATGCATATTTAATAAAAAAAGGGACAAAAAATTACATGACCTCAGTTACGACAATAAATTGCTCTTGGATATAGATGTTCAAATTTCCACAAGAAAGCTTCCCTTTTCACTTTGTTTTTTTCTTCATTTTGTTAATATAGAAAAAACCACAGCCACTCTAACCTTTCATTATTTATCAAAGCATTTTAACTATTATTATAGGATACTAAATTACAATATCGTGTGTATGCGTGTAGAGAGAAAGAAAGAGAGATTAAATGACAATACATGTTTGTTTATGTCAATATAAATATAAAGAAGCGTTGTGAGCCTCTCATTTGGTGTAAGTTGGTTACATTAGCAAGGAGAAAAGAAGGGAGGAACTCAAAACAAAGCTCTCTATCTAATCCTCTTTCTCCATCCCCGCCGGAGACGCAGCACAAATCTCCCTGCAAAACAAATCAATAACTTATAATAATTACAATATGCAGAATCAAATGACCACCATTAGCACCCCCATTCCTAATCACCCCCACACTCGCACAACATTCACCACTGCTAATAACCTTAATCATAACTATAGTACTAAGCGCATTAACAATAACAACAACAACAACAATAACAAGAACGTTCTTCTTCGTGTCAACGGTGCAGGCCAAGCTTGTGCTGCATGCAAATATCAACGTCGGAAGTGTGCTCCCGACTGCGTTCTTGCCCCTTATTTTCCTCATGATCGCCAACGCCAATTCCTCAACGCGCATAAATTGTTTGGGGTAAGCAACATTACCAAGATTATTCGACACTTAGATCAACCTCTCAAAGACGAAGCCATGCGCACCATCATCTTCCAATCTGACGTTCGTGCCAATGACCCTGTTGGTGGTTGTTATCGTATCATTCGAGACCTGCAACGCCACATTGATTATTGCAAAGCGGAGCTAGATATCGTTCTTCATCAACTCGCTTACTGCAGAGCACAGGCTGTTGCTGCTGCTGCCTCAGAACAACAGATATTAGCAGATCATCATGCAACTGAGGAATCATTCACTGAAAATAATTGTGATGGCGTCGTGAATCAGGCAGATCCGTTGGTGAATAATAATGTATCTTCGTATGATCAACAGACTGTAGACTACCATCCTCATAGTTATTATAATCATCCTAGTTGTCAGCAAGGTGAAGATGATCAGCAATATGATGAAATTCAAGATGGCCAATTAGATTTAGCAGATATTAACTTCCCTTGGAGCTTGCATGAACAAGAATCCACGTATACATCGGCACCTAATTCTTTGATGAAGCAACTTTCTGTTCATGACCAATGTGACAATATCAAGCCTATTCTGGAGGGAATTACAGGTTTTGGAGAAGAAGGCCTAAGTTTCGAACATGACCAAGCTTTTGATCAACACAGGTTAGTAATTACATGCACTTTGTTTTTTATTCTTTTTACCCTTCAGAAGTATGTATGTTGATGTTTCTAAGAACATCTGAGCTTTGATTATTTTATCTTGAGTTTAAGTATTTAAAGGAGCTCAAAGATCAAATGATGAGTTTGGATAACATAAAAATCGTTGATTTTCATTTGTCTGTTATCATAGCTTGATCAGTTTTAGGGAAAAAGAGTAGATTATGGTTTTACTGAATGGATCTTCATGCATTTCTACAGTAGTTTTTGCACATTTTAATATAGTCTACAATATCTAAATGTTATTTACAATTATAGGATCTAGAATGTAAATGCTGATCTCAATTTTTAGTTTGTTAACCATTTTAAACTCAAAACAACTCAACATTTGATCCCTGATTAACCCTAGTGTAGCCATTTAGAAGAAAAGACAATAAAACAAGAGGAGAACAGGGTTATGGTATATTAAGAGTTGCTCTCCTTTATCTTTAATTCTTTCTATATTTGGAACATAATTTTGACACTTGTTCATTGCACAATAATGAAGCTATTCAACAAGGGAACATAGTCCCATCGAAGGAAGAGGGTGAATCCTTTCCACATGCTCGAAGATCAAGATCTAAAGGTGCTGCTACTCTGTTTACCTTCACAAACTGCACTTCGCTGAATTTTTGTAGTAGAGAGATCCGCAAGAGGAAATTTCTTTTGAGTCAACTGACTTCACAATTTTGCCCGAACTCCCAATGAGCAGTGCATATTTTGTTCTTCCTTTCTTTTAAGTGCCAAACAATCAATCGGTATGCAAAACTAGCTACCAATTGGTCTGCAGGGGTCTTCACTCATCGTAAATTCATGCAGTTGGAATCCATATGGTTTTACTGAAAAGCAAAGGCACATATGCTTAGACATGTGACAATAAATTGGCAGTACTAGAAATTAGATTTGCTTATTTACTTCTGATTTCATGAGTCAAATGATAGTGGTGGTGTACATTCACTATTCTGATTCCTTGATACAAAAACTGGAAAAGAAAGGTTGCATGAGTTTAGGCATGTGATGATAAATTCGCAAACCAAGAAATCACTTGCAGATAGAATTGAGGTTTCATGAGTCAAATGCTAGTGGTACTGTATATTCACTATTCTGAAGCAACTGCTCTTGATACAATTCACATTCTTCCTTGTCTGTGAAAAACCAAGGTACATGAAAGGCCAAGTTTCATCATTTTTCACCAGTTCCAGCTCATGAAAAACACCGTTTCCTTTATATGCAGCTTAAAATAAATGAGACTTCAGTTTCAACGGCATCCAGTTACCAATTTGTATAAGAAACTAAGATATCAATATACTTACAGCAACCATAAATGACTCTCTGCCAAACTTCTGCCATTGCTCCTTTTATAGTTTTCCAGTTTCTGCAAGCTCATCAGCTCCTTGCGACATGGCAATTCAAGCCTGGGTAAATCAGACAGTAAATCATAGATGTATCGGTATCTAAATAATCCTTATTGTACGAAACTATAACTGAATCCCATCTATCATGCAGGCTTATCAGATTTGGACCCAAATTATCATGAGCTTATACAGCAGATTAGTGAACATTTAGCACTTTTAAAACATGTATTGAGAATTCAAACTAGAAAGAAAGAAATTATAGTAAGATTGAATATATCAAGATGCGACACCTCTTTTCTGGGAAGTGAAATCGTACATACGTGAGCAATGAAGTGACTGCACAGCAAACTCGTTGGCCCATGAAATATATAGATACAAAAACTGGAAGAGGAGGTGGCTTTGAGCAGGTTTAGAGATCAAATCATAGTTTTCCAGCATTGAGCATAAGACACTGAATTCTTCATGATGCCAAATACAGATAGTCTTCTTGTTCTTCTGCAAATTGTAAAGCAGAGCTTTTTTGGGGCATGATTCCTTCCTTAGCCATATGAAGGCTTAGAATATTAAGCATTATATGAACATCTTCCATCCCCGAGTCCATAGGTTGCCCTGCTAAGAACATATAAACCTTCTTTTTCACCTCAATCCAACTTTGTCCTGGAGTTTTTTTCAAACCCTGTGTCTTTGCTGATATCCTCACATTTGCTGAATCCTTCCACCTTCCATTTCCAGCATATAAATTACAGAGCAACATGTAGCTCCCCGTCATCTCAGACTCAAGGTTAAAAATCTGAGCAGCGGTTTCTTCTGCGACTTCCGTGTTTTTATGCATTTTACAAGAGTTAAGCAGTGCTCCCCAGACACAGGCATTGGGCCTCATTGGCATGTTTTGCACCATTTCACTAGCCCTCTGCAATAGCCCAGCACGGCCAAGAAGATCTACCATACAAGCATAATGCTCCATTTGTGGTTCAATTCCAAACACTTTCTTCATCTGATCGAAAACTTTATTCCCCTCGTCAACAAGGCCTGCATGACCACATGCAGAAAGAACTGCAACAAAAGTAACTTCATCTGGCTTAGTTCCAGCGTTAATCATCTGTTCAAAAGTTTCTAGGGCATTAACACCAAGTCCATGCATTCCAAATCCAGAAATTATTGTGTTCCATGAAATTAAATCTTTTTTTCCTATGCCCTCAAATATTATGTTTCCTTTCTGCAGACTACCACACTTCATGTACATATTAACCAACCCATTCCCCACCAAAGTATTTTTGTCCATTAGAAACCGTACTGAATAACCATGGACTTCCATACCAAGACGGAAGTTTGAAAGCTCTGCACAAACTGATAAAACACTCGAAATTGTAACATCATTGGCCACAACTCTAGCAACTTGCATACGTCGAAAGATTTCTAAAGACTCCTCGTGCCTCTCAGCCATAGCAAAAGCCCCTATAACAGCACTCCAACTTATGACGTTAGGTTTCATCATTGGATCATCTAACTCTTGTAACTGCAAAAATAAAGAATAGGCCTCGTTACATAACCCTGATTCTGCGTAACAAGATACTAAAGAATTCCAGGTCACTATAGTCTTTAATTGCAATCCAGAGAACAGACATTCAGCCTGTTTCACAGCACCACTTTTCCCATACGTGCACAATAATGAGTTTATCACAATAGAATTATTCTCAAAGCCCCCCTTAATAACATATCCGTGCACTGTCTCACACTTACGAATCGCATCGTCACCAACACAAACTGATAATACAACAGCAAGTGCCTCAGCAGTGGCTTCAACTTCTTTCTTTCTCATCAAAACATAAAGTTTCCACGTATCTTGGTTACGTCTACACCTAGCAAAACTAGATAATAAGGACGTCCAAGTCACAGAATTTGGTTCAAACCCCTCAAGTTCCATCTGTAAAAACGTCTCGTATGCAGCATCACAGTCAAAGTTCTGCGCAAAACCCGAAACAATAATGTTCCATGATATTTGAGTTCTCACGGTCATTCTATCAAACACTTTATGTGCAATATCCACTCGTCCAATCTTGCCGTACATATTCATCAATTCATTTCCAACATGAAGATGATCTCGAAAACCCATTTGTACAACATGACAATGCACTATGCTACACAGATTATAGTCACCCAACATACCGCATGCTCTTATAATTAGAGGAAAACCAAACCCATCAGCCAAACTTCCAAATTCACGCATTTTAATATAAAGCTTTACAGCCTCTTCACATTTTCCATGGGAGACGTTAGCCCTCAAGATCGAATTCCACAAAAGTAAATTCGAGAAGCACTCACTTGGGCAGGTTTCAAATACTTTTTGGGCTTCATTGAGAAGCCCAAATTTAGCGTAAATAGATATGAGTCTGGCAGCTATAAAAGAAGAGTTTGATGAACCAGTAATTATGAACTTTGCATGGATTTGCTTCAGTTGTTTAAGATTATGAAGGCTGCATTGTTGAAGTAGGTGGTCCAACAAGTCAAGCTGATGATGATTTTGGGTGTTGTGAGATTGATTGGCTGAAGAAAGAGAATGAAAAAAGTTGAAAATTGAAGAAAATGGAGGGAGGGAAGTAAGACGCCTTGACCAACGGCCGTGAATCATATCCTCCTCGTCTAAAAATTGTTTCTTTATAGAGAATACACACTATTATGTATGTGCAGCAGCTTTTGCAATGGCTAAATTGGACGGAAAATTATTCTGTGATCGACGCGTCGCTACGAACAACAATTGTATTCTTTTGTTGTGACTTCAATTTTGGATTAGGAAAACTCACATTGAGCTTATGTATTTTACAAATTGAATCAAATTCAAGAAACAAACTTTACCTTAAAAGGAAGCAAAAAGAAGGGTGATATTCAGAGATTTGAAGTTTAGAATACAGATGCCTATTATATAACAAGCACTTCATATACATTACTTATGGAGGGCACACACAAAAATAAAAATCTTATCACATCCGGTGTTTACATAAATGACATTTCTCTTTCATATACATTCAATAATCACGGTTAGTTAATGTATATAATCTCCTCAATCTACCATGTATAACAATGATATACTAATGTAGTTACACCGGGTGTGTGTACGTTTTTTCATCCTATGTAGTCTTCTTCTTTATGACAAGCCAAACTATACAGACTCCACATAACTGTTTGCCAAAGAATTAAAATGACAAAACTTGCACTTATCTCAAAAGAACCACTCCAGCCACCTACTACCACTCAGTTCTCCACCGCAAAAAGAAACTAAGAAATGGATTTATAGGGTCTTTATAAACCAGCTGCTCTTCCTAATCTTTCTCTTAAAATCTGTACTCCCATGTACCTGCATCAAATTCATCATCACAGAAACCAATTAGTATAATTGACTAGCCAAACCTCTTCAGGAAACTTGTAATTAATGTATGATTTTACCTGCCCATCATCATAAGTGTGGCTTGAGGATTGGTGCCTGGCGACTCAGTGAATGTCGAACCATCAATGACACGGAGCCTGTGGACATTAATAACCCTGTAATCAGAGGTTACCACCTTGCCGACATGGCAACCCCCGTGATAGTGCCATATTGTGAGCACAGTGTCTTTGCAGAACTGTTCAAGTGACTCTGTATCATTAGTTTGTTTCGGTATAAGATTAATATTAGCTTGGACACTTATGTTAAGCAACTTGTCCAATGTCTCCTTGTCGCACTGCGTGTAGTTGTTGAAATGTTTTGACTTCACAAGCTTTTCCATAATTCGTATGCCATTTACACATCGTTTTAGATCGCGTGGATGGCTGAAGTAGTTGAAGGTGACAGACGGAATGTCATCAATGTTGGTACTCTTTAGGCTAATCTTCCCTGTTGATAAAGGTGTAGCTATCTTTGCTAATATGAAACCTCCCCTGAATGCTTCTTGAGGAACATTTTTCTTGTTTCTTTTGTACACATCAATCGCTTCTTGTGTTCTTTGCTTTGGAGGAACGGTGGACAGTTGCCCTATCTGGTTATTACAAAATGTGCAACGTATGTCAGAAAAAGGATTGAAGGTCTAGCGCCTTCTATTATGAAGTCACAAGGAGTTTAAGGGTATATGCTATGTCTCATAAGCCATGTTCTGGCTCCTGCCACTAAAAGTTGTCAGCTTGTTTTAGTATGTAAACTAATGACTAATGAGGATGTCTCTAGCAAGACGAGAACCGATTGCAGGTATTAGGCGTTCCTTAACCAGCGATGTATATAAGCTCAAGATAAAAGTTACTCTAACTTTAACTTGAAAGAAGTTGGAAGTTTTATGACTAACCTCAGCTGAAATGACACCATGATTGCAATGAATGCTGTCTTCGGTTTGTCCATATCCACTACTAGCTTCAATATAGACCCCCATCTTGGTAATTCCAACCGTCTGGATCAGCGACTGCTCGACAGGCCTATCCGTGGGAACAAATATGGTGTTTAAGGGGTTGTCTGACATGCCTTTACCGACGAATTTATTGTCAAGTACCACCGGGATGTTCAATTTTTCCAATTCTTTCTTTGGTCCTATTCCACTGAGCATCAGAATTTGAGGGCTTCCAATTGCACCAGATGATACTATAATTTCACTTCCCCTTCTCTTTGAAAGAAATGCTTTGTGTTTGTTCCCATTTTCATCTTTGAATATGACTCCTACTGCTCTTGGCTTCTTTCCTACACAATTTTAATATCATCATCTCATTGAAGACAGATTTTTACCAGTACGAGTTTACTATATCTTGGACTAGATGTATTAGATTAATTTGACATGTAATACCTGATGTGTCAAACTCAATCTTTTGAACTGTTGCATGGACCAAAACATGAAGCTTCTCAGGGTTGGCTGAGGTGAGTAGTTCAGCTGCAGATTTACGACGACCAGACCTGTCGAAAATGGTTCCTCCAAACTTGGTTCCATATACGTGATCATACGTGAATCCATTAAAAGGTGAGATACCAACTTCTAAAAGGCCGTCCTTTACAGCTCTTTGCCATGGTGCCAAGTTTGGTTTATGAACAATTTGCTTCTCAATCCAGGGGTATGATTCATTCACCAGTTTAGAATCCCATCCTGCTTTCTTGATATAACTACAAGTTCAAAGGATCATAGCATGATCAATTCATCAATCTACCATCAATATATTTTTCCTCCACCAAGAAAAAGAGAAATAAAAAAAATGTTCTCAAAAGCTGGAATTTTCTAGCCAAACATAGGCCACAGCCTATGCAAGCCATATTCCTTTAAAGATTTATCTTATATTCACTGACGGTGTAAATGAAAATATTTACACAGTAATTACAGCTTAACTTACAGTAGAATGTTACTGTTATATTTTTCAGGTTACTACTTCCTCTGATTACGGATAGTTACTTTTACAATACCTCTAAGGTGATGGTGATCTAATAGCGTAAAAGAAAAAAGAAAGTTTACGTTGTTAGTGTATAGAGGTTAAACTCTTAAAATGAAAAATTACAAAGTTTACATGCATGTTAGCAGAAGAAAAGACATTAATTGCTTATGTACCTACATTTCTGTTTCATATTTGTATTTCAACAACATTGTGCTAAATAGCAAGTATGATTATTTAAACTTTGTAAGCACAATGGCAACTACTATCATAAAGAGGAAAATTAAATTATTGGCCTTAAGTAGTAAATACAATAAATGAGGATAGAGACCTGGTAGTTGCGATGTTTTAAGTAGGCAGTGGGCTGCATTTGTGGGTAGATATGGCTTTACAACCAACCACATGTCTGGTTATCATATTGTGCATTTCCTACCAAATCTTTGTTTCAACTTTCAAGCTAGGCAAAAAAGCACATATGGAGACAGATATTACATGCACAGCTATTTTAAGAGAAGAATTCATCAAATTAAGGACCCAGGACAGTACCCTCCAGCTTCATGTTCAGGAAACAATGGAAGAAATCACAAACATTTTACAAATACTCCCTCCCATCTATCTTCTAACGTCTTGACGCCATCAATTAAAAAAATAATTTAATAACATTAATCATAAAAGTTATTTGACTAAATTACACTTTATATGTCTAACAACACTTATTTTGGACCAAACTGGTTTGTCTAAAACAACATTCATTTACTAAAGAGAGTAACATATATCAAGATCAATAATGGGGTCTAACCATGAGTATCCCCACAATATTTTGAATCCTAAAGTATTTTGGTGATTAATATTCTACTTATAGATACTCTTTTACGTGCAGTGATGATGACAATTATGCATTAATTTTGAATCACCTGCCCTTTTGGTTTATCGAAAGTTGAATCAACCAATAATAAGAGCGAGAGGAAATGCCTCTTCCAACAATATATCCAATATAATCCCAAAAGAGAGGCCTGAAGAGGATTGTGGGTATACAGACCGGCCTTAACTCTATGTCCAATATAATCCTACAAGAGGGTCTGCGTACGCACACCTTACCCTTACCTTGTGAAGATAGAAATGTTATTTTCGATAAAGAATATTTCTTCCATTTTAGGAATTTGAAACCCATGTGAGGTCTCCCAATGATTTAATTGCATAAAGCCAGGTCAATTTACTATGACTTTAAAAAAAATCTAACACCATTGAAAGCTATGAGTTGGTTTAACTTTTCTAGTTGGGAGACATTATTAATTCATTGACCAACCTTCTGTTTGGCTTTTCTTAATTTATTACTCCCTCCGGTCTAAAATAAGTGATTTTTTCAGATTTCAAGAATGAATTAATTACTTTTTTCCTACATTGTCCTTGGAGTAAATAGTGTTGGAATATGTGTCAGGAGTGTTTATGTGAGATAGTAAAGGTTAATATGGTCAATTTCATTGCTAATTAATGCTAAAAGGTAGATTTCTTAATTTGTGTGAAAACATCCAAAAAATCACTTATTTTGGACCGGAGGGAGTAAAACCTAATAGTATCTTCACCATACAGTAATAGAACTCAAGGATAAAATTTATATTATATTGATAATGTAAAGGACTTTTTACGTAATTGGATTGTTAGATTATTATTAAAATAATTACAAACAATTATCCATATGCCAATTTATATGATACTCTTTCATTTTTAATCTGTCCCAAATAAAAAGAATAACATGTTTCTATATTTAGAAACAATTTACCTTTAAGTTTTCTTTTTATTCTTAATGAAATGATTTATAGTCACATAAATTACTAAGGCTGGTTTTAAACCATAAATTTAAAATTCTTTTTTTATTTCTTACACTTCATGCCCATCAAATACTGTCACTTTAATTTGGACATTGAAGTACATGTAAATGATGTAATAAACACACATTCTAAGTACGTAGAAGTAAAATTCAAACTCAAAGTCGAGAGAACAGGACGTTAAAAAAGAGCAGCCCGATACACAAGACATTCTGTATTCACATAGGGGTCCGGGGAAGGGTCGCACCCAAGGACGCAACAGAACGTTAGCAACAAGAAATGTACACATGAAGGGCGCAAGCAATCAGATTAGGTTAATTTACAAACCTTGAGCTAGCACGACTGTAGAAACCAGCATTGATGCAACTGCCTCCGCCCAAGATTTTAGCTCTTGAATTGAAGACTCCATCAGTTGAGACGAAAATTTGGGAAGCAGAAGATGGTGAAGTGTCAGCCAAAGAGATATGAAAGTTTTGCATGAATGACACATTTGTATTTGCAAATGGAACTCCTCCTCTTTCCAGTAATAACACACTGAATTTCTGTGACAAAGTTGCTGCCAAAGGACAACCAGCTGTGCCTCCTCCCACTATTATGTAGTCATAATTTGCCTTTTGGCTCCCAACATTTGATGATGAAGATGAAGATGATGATGATGATGATGAGAATGAGAATGAGCTTGCAGCTTTTATAAATGGATATCTATGTTTCCATGATTCCCATTTGCTTGCTGCTTTACACAAAATTAAAGAGTCCCATTGTTAGAAATTATAAAGTGTAGGGGATTAACGACAGTATAATGAATTTTACACTATCAGTATATTTTAACATGTCAAGTAACTTATTTATCTTATTTGTCCACGTTATTAATCTCACTTATATATATGTTGTCCGCAACGTATAGTTATCTTTTAGATGACTTTAATTATCATGTAAAAGTTATTTTAGGTGATCTGATAGTATAAAAATTGTAGTGTTGGTTGATTGGCTCTGAAAATCTAAAATTCAGTTCTCACTTAGCTAACTAGCAACTCTTTTTTGTTTTGGCCTTTTAATTTATAGTTTAATTTTTTTTTTAATTATACCATCTGACTGCAAGTAGGCCTGATGATTCAGATAAAAAAAGGTATACTTGCAGTAAATGGATATGCTCAAGAAACAAGAAAAAAGAAGTTATAAATTAAGGGAAAAGAATTGTTTATAGGACAAAACATGGACATTAGCCCATCAAAAAATAAGGAATAGAAATTGAGAACAAAGCTCTGGAACTTCTTCTTCGTTTCTCTCTGTTTTCACCTGATTTCCAATAAAAAGTTTCTTTGAAAAAGTAATCAAAACAAGTAAAAAAAAAATTGTGTAGTGAAAGAAAAAGTACCTTGAGTGAGAGGGAGAGATGAATTAAAGTTGAGCCATAGAAGTACTAAAGAGAGAAGGAGCTTCACAATCACAGGACCAACCACAGCCATTGAGCTCAGACACAAACCAAAGAAACTCCCAGCAGGAGAACTGAATTCTTCCACCTCAAACTACTACTAGCTCAGTTTGATGTGGCTTTATTTGGTTGGCCTTGTTCTGTGTGCATCTATAATATACTATATATATAGAACTATCTACATATATATATACTTGCACTTGATTCGCTTAGATCTTATAGAATTCCGCAACTACTACATTAATTGTTAGTAAACAAATAGGACATGATATAGAGTATAAAATTTTTGGTACACAAATTTAAGCTATATATATACACCGTCAGCATTAACAAATAAATTTTGTAGCATCACTGTAATTTATCATATGTAAAGAATCTAGCAGTTTATATATGTTAGTAAAAGGTTTAAATAATGTTGCTATTTAGTTAGCTATAATATAATGATGAGACAAGCGTAGGTGAACTCTTTCATATAAATAGTAGTAATATAAGTTAAAGGTGAGGGTACCTCCAACTGGGGAGAGTCATTTAATGGAGAAATGAATGCCTACAGTTGGGCTCCTATCATCAATGCATGGCCATCCGATTATTTTCAGGTTTATCAATCTTTAAGTTTCTCATCTTCATCTTTTGTCTATATAGCCTCTAACGTACTTTAATTTTGACAGCTCACTGATAAAGACAAAGCCAGCATATATTACTTATTTACTTAACCACCATACATATATGCACCACCAACAATAGCTACTAGCAGATGAATTTAACCCCCAAATTGTTAGTACTACTACAATAACTTAGTGTGGTCCCATAAGTGGGGTCTGGGGAGGGTAGGATGTACGCAGCCTTACATCTATTCTGGAAGGGCAAAGAGACTATTTCCGATAGACTCTTGGCTAAAGAAGGTGAGAGAAGCATTGGTAGCAAGTAATAGCAAGACAATAATTAGAAAACTAAATCGAAAATAGCAACAGATAATATGAAAGGGGTACTGATAACAAGTAGTAGCAAGATAACATATTTAAAAAACTAATTCCGAGGCAGCAGACTATAATAAATTTGTTATTCATACAGAAATCAAGTAATTAGAACCTCGATACAGTTTTATTCTCTTTCGGATTGGAGGTTATTTTATAATAAATAATAATACCATATGGTTTTCAGCTTAATGTGGAAAGCGTGGCTGGGAAGTTCATTTACATTTCCTTTTTGCTTAAACGGTGGGATAGAGAGAAATGCAGGTCGCCGCAAGAGACAAACATATAAATGTATAATGGGACAAACAAGCCATGTTAAATAGTAGCGATAATAAGTTTGGAAAAGAGTAATAAATGACTCGCAATTTTTCTCAAAATAGTTGACAATTTAGAATGAAATGAAAAAAAAAAAAAAAAGGAGAAGTCGTTTAAATGTTATACTTCTTTTTTCAAAATGACAAATATTTGGACCAACTACTCGCAGTAAATTGGGTGAAATTCAAAAATAGTCAAATTTATAACTGGTCGTTCAAAAATAGCCCAGTTTCAAAAGTTATCGAAATTTAGCCACTTTTCATGTAAAGATAAATCTGAGCGAAAACACTGTTCAAAACCAGAAAAAATACGCCAGTATATTATGCTGGAGTTCCAGCATAAGTATACTTGAACTCCAGCATATTATACTGGAGTTCCAGCGTATCTGGAACTCCAGCATATTATACTGGAGTTCCAGCATAAGTACGCTGGAACTCCAGCATAATATACTGGAGTTCCAGCAAGTATACCGGTCCAGCATAATATACTGGAGTTTGGAGCACCGGTGCTATAGTCTCCAGTATATTATACTGGAGCCAGCAAAGTATACCGGTGCAGCATAATATGCTGGAGTTCATACACAGGTGCACCGAACTCCAGTATATTATGCTGGACCGGTCTCTGTTGCAGCAAAATAGTGGCTATTTTTCATTGACTTGGTAAACGCTGGCTATTTTTGAATGACCAATCCGAAAACTGGCTATACCGTGCTATTTTGACCAGTAAATTCACCAACTAATATCAAGGTTACTCTTAAATATCAATCTAAAGCCTGCTTGTCGATGAATGTTGGTTTAACGAGATTTTGGTCCATGTTTTCTTGTTAAAATAGCACGGCCTGGCCAGTTTTCGGACTAGTCATTCAAAAATAGCCAACATTTATCAAGTCATTGAAAAATAGCTACTATTTTGCTGCAACAGAGATAATATACTGGAGTTCGGTGCACCTGTGTATGAACTTCCAGCATATTATGCTGAACCGGTAAACTTTGCTAGAGTATTTTCCGGATTTTGAACAGTGTTTTCGTTCATCTTTAAATGAAAAGTGGCTAAATTTCGATGACTTTTGAAACTGTGGATATTTTTGAATGACCACTTGTAAATTTGGCTATTTTTGAATTTCTCACTGTTTTCTTTAGTTTAATTTCAATAAAAAATGATAGAATTGAAGGAACAAAAAACAAAAAAGCTCACTTTCAAGTTAATTAGTCCTTTAATTTGCTTTAGGATTGTAAAAAGTTACGAGAGAGTGAAATCCTGGGTTCGTAAAGCTGCCTCATAAAGAGGACAGCCAATACATTATGATTTAGGTGCTGACCTTCGGTAACAGATATATGTCCTAATCAAGTTTGTATCTGTGGATCATTTCAACTTTGATCACGGTAGTGAGTATAATAAATTAATTTCAAGCTACTGAAGTAACATTCGGAGAATTGATTTTGTAGTTCTTTATTAGTTTCTATGTCTTTTTTATAGGAGATCTTTATTTTTATACATAAGAAATCTGAAAATAAAACACGAGAAATAAATTATTTTTTTCTATTCAAATTTCAAGTGGCCACAAGAGATCATTTTTCGTAATATTCATTAACGTTCATACAGTTGGAACATGCCACGTGTATATGAGCATAGCAGATTAATTATGTTTTTTTCAGGTTCACAACTTTAGGACAACATCCTCTTCCACCCCCCACTTAAGGTTGGATATGAATTATGTAATGTTTGTTAGTTAGGAGGAGTCAGAAAAACACAGGTGTACAATCATTACTAAGAATATCTTCTTTTGTTTGAGTACTAGTGGAAAATGAAATAACTGCAAAAATAGAAAAATAAAAATAAATGGAAATGTGCATGTGTATTGAATACGTCGTAGTTGGGTGGTTGAGAGCCAACTCAGACTTGTTAAATGTTCTTTAACATCTCAGGCTGAAAAAGTTGGCAAATGACAATTTTAGACCACATAAGGTTGAAGGTACCTAGCAAAGGTTCAGAGCTCTCTCTTATAGGAATAGATGCGTTCTTTACTTCTGTGGTTCATTTATTGAATGCGTAGCGTGTGTATTTAAATACGAAAATAAAAATTAATCCAAGTTAGTTCAGTGGGTTAGGGGCACATCGCGAATGTCACCGACAAAAATCAGATATTTAAATGGAGAAGGGTAGAGATGACCCGTAATCTATTGAGTTTTGAACATGCACCACCGATCCGCAGAATTTGTATCCCAAAAGAAGAAGAAAAAAAAGAATGGCACCAACATTGTCAAAAAATTGAACTCAACTATCAATTTACTCACCATTTAGCCTTTTTCAGAGGCTTCTTAATTAATGTCACCTTTTGATACAACAAAAGGTACCCCCTTTACCTATCTTCCCTCCCCTTCATTCATGGCCACAACTCCAAAATAAAGAAGTTAAAATTTCAAGGAAAATTTTACTAAAAGAAAGGGCAGAAAAAGTTAGTTAAGTAAACAGATATGAAGGATATTAGTACCAGTATCAGAGCCTAACAATGGCAACGTGGTTGCTCTTGAAGATAACTGAAAATAGACCAAAATCCTACCTCTCTTGCCTCTCCTCAAAACCAGATAAGAAAGGTAAATGATATATAAAAAGGAAGCTATAGCAGGGGGCAGAAGAAGGGAAAAGAAAAAAGAGAGAGAAAGAAAATCTACTTTAAGAGGGGACCTCATTCACCTCAAGTCGCTGCCAGTATACATGTCCTACACAAGAACCAGTGCCTTCAGTTTCTGAATCTTTACATGCTTGCCTCTAAGGTGGAAGCCATGAGCAGAATTGTGCACGATACCACATCCGTGTGAGCATGAAAGCTTGTTCTTATGAAATAGAATAAGACTGCTCTATATTTACTTCGTTTTATCATGTATAGAGGGGCTAGAGTATTCTGCTCCATTTTTGGAAGAAGTCACGTTATAGGAAGCACTTGATGATACAGCACTATGATCATTAGGGCTACCGCTGAAACTGTTTGATGCAGGGGCAGGATTTCGTTGCGGTTCGCCATTTGCCTGCTTTTGTCCTTGTTCTGCTAGTCGTCTAAGAAGGTTCATGACAGTAGGAAGGAACTTTGTGGATAAAGAGAGAAGTCCAGGAATCTGAAACACATACATTGAAGATCAGTTCCCTAAAATTTTGAAGGAAGTTCTCCATAATGCAAGTAAAGTAATGAAATTGGGCAAATCACACTTGCTTTCAACTTCTTGTTTAAGAATGTTTCATCACCAGAGACTAGATTAGACTAAATAATAACTCCTGAAAGCCCACACGAAACATGAAGGCGGAATCCAGATTTCTGTCTAAAAAATCCACAGGAAAACAGTGAACATATTTTTGATCAAGCACCATTAAATTTAGGAAAGTTTAACTATGTTGGTTCCGTTAACCTTATCAAAACAGAAGTCTAGAACGTCAGCTGCTACAGAAATGGCGTGTAAGAGTTAATTGGTCAAATTGCTTTTAAAACATAGAAACTGATATAATAGGAATTCAGATCTGATACTTACAGCACCATTGCGGAGTTCACAGGAGATGTCCAATTGCACCCAAAGGGCTTTCTGTAGTAGAAAAGAAACAAATATAACTCCCAAATACAAAGGATTTCTGGAGAAAAAGTAAATGTCAACATAAGTTAAGCAATCAACGATGGATACACCCTGCCAGTGGGTACACAAACATGAATGTATCAAATTGTGGTGCTTTCTGATTTATTAGCAGAAAAGGTACCTTAAAAGTGTCATGAATTCATTGAAACCCAAAACAACCAAGGCAACAGTTGGCCAAGGAGGTGGTAACCAATTGTTACTTCTCCTGCTAGCCTCCTGCAGGGTAAAGTACCAGAAAATCAGAAAGATACAGCATAAGGGTAAACCACAAATATTCAAATGGCAATCAGAAAACTCAAAAGAATTTCTCAAGAAATATTCCAAATAGAAAGTCAACATGGTAAGACCAACTATGTACAGCAAATGTTGCGCATATTTATAACAGCTCAGATAATAGTTAAAATCACAGTGACAAGCACAGATAACGTGAGTGAGAACCCACACATTCGTAAACTGCTTAAACAGTTACATTCAAACAGTTGCTCTGAAACCCCAACATCAACTGAAGGGGGTAGGTTTTGTTCAAAATCAACTTCCAAGAACCAAATAAAATTACCCAGCCATTAATCTAGACATATTATTCAACATTGCTAATCCACCTTACTGCCAACCAAAACAAGTATAAAAGGACTTCACTTTCAAAAGAAGACTGAAGCGATGCAATAGCAGCCAAAAGATCATGCCTGAGCAGCAATGGCTTGTGTAACAGTATATTCAGTCTCAGATTTAAATTGCCTCCACAAAGACTTGCACTGGACAGGTGTGATCAAAGTTTTCAATGCGGGGACCTGCAATAAAAATTGACTTAAAGATGATCAACTTGAAAGCTTGAAAGATAGCAAGAAAAATAAACCATTGTTAGATAGTTATATAGTTAATTAGTCCGACATATTGAGTAGGAGTAGAATCTTTATTATGTATAGTTATAAATAGGGATCATTGTATTATAATTAATTAATCAATATAGATTTTCTCCCGTGCATTCTCACATGATATCAGAGCATTGGTGAGATAATTATCGTTGTGCGTCATTCCAACGACATCGGGGAAGAAATCAGTCTTCACCGTGCAATTTTCCGGTGACCTGAGTAGCTGTTTGCGTCAAAACCACTTTTTACAGGTGTTGTGCATAAACCAACACCACCACAGTGTTCTCCATCCCCGGGCGACCAAACCCCACAAAACCCACCGGAAAAAACCCATCCACGCGCACGCGCCGACCAGAGTGATTTTTTTTCCAGCGAGATCTGTCCACGCGTCGGCGCGTGGACCACCTTCGGTCAGTTTCTGACGAAACTCCTTTTGGACAGCTTTCTCAGGACGTTATTCCGAGTCGGTCTATTCAAGTTTAATCAAAGTCCGGTAACCTTTTTAATTTTCCGGTGAGTGAACAGTGTTTTCCGGAAGAAAAAAAAGGTGTTCTAATTTGGCATTCCAAGGTTAACCACACAAGTTGTAATCAAGAATTTGAGAAATTGGTTGTAGCAAAATGGAATCCAATACTACGAAGAGTTGGATGGTTTCTCTACCGGATTATATTGAGTTCCTTCCGTACAAAGCATGTAAACAAACATCTTCAGGGATAGCTTTCGTTGTTCAAACAGATAGTAGCGTGACTTGTGTCTCTCAATCTTCAACCTCTGAGTATTGGGTCATTGATTCAGGTGCATCTGATCATATTTCTGGTAACAAATCTCTTTTCACTACTATTTCATATTCTCAATCACTCCCAACAGTCACAATGGCTAACGGGTCTCAAACCATGGCAACTGGAATAGGCCAAGCAAGTCCACTTCCTTCCTTACCTTTAGATTCAGTTCTTTATCTCATAGCCGTTAGTCGCTTAGCCAAATCACTTAAATGCTATGTTTTATTTCTTGATGACCTTGTTTTTATACAGGAATGCAGTACATGGCGGATCATTGGTACCGGGCGTGAATTAGATGGACTTTACTACCTTATCCTTGCAAAATCACATGGACTCACATCTTGTCTTTCTTCAACAACTTGTCCTGTTACTGATTCACCAGATCTATTACATAAATGGTTGGGACATCCCAGTTTGTCAAAACTTCAGAAAATGGTATCTAGTCTATCTCACTTATCCACTCTAGAATGTGAGTCATGTCAGCTCGGTAAGCATACCCGCTCCCGTTTCCCTCGGCGTCTTGATAATCGAGCAGAGTCACCGTTTACTTTAGTCTATTCAGATGTTTGGGGTCCTAGTCGGGTCAGTTCTACCTTGGGATTACGCTATTTTGTTAGTTTCATTGATGATTATTCCAGGTGCAGTTGGATACTTTTGATGAAAAATCGATCTGAGTTGTTTTCTATTTTCCAGACCTTCCATGCTGAAATTCAAAATCAATTTGGGCTTTCTATCCGCACATTTCGTACTGATAATGCCCTAGAGTATTTGTCTTCCCCATTTCAGCAGCTTACTCTCATGGGATTATTCATCAAACATCTTGTCCGTATACATCCCAACAAAATGGGGTAGCTGAAAGAAAGGATAGATATCTTATTGAAATTGCTCGTACCCTACTCATACAATCTCATGTTCCGTTGCGTTTTTTGGGAGATGCAGTTCTTACATCTTGCTATCTTATTAATCGTATGCCATCTTCAGCCATCCAGAATCAAGTTCCATTCTCTGTCATGTTTCCTCACTTACCTTTGTTCTCTCTTCCATCACGTGTCTTTAGGAGCACATGTTTTGTTCATAACCTTACTCCAGGAAAAGATAAGTTAGCTCCTCGTGCTCTTAAGTGCGTATTTTTGGATTACTCGAGAACACATAAGGGATATCGATGCTATTCTCCTGACCTCCAGCGGTATCTTATGTCTGCTGATGTTACCTTCTTTAAAACCCAATCATGCTTCACAAGTCCAGGTAATCACTTAGATATTTCTGAGGTGCTACCAGTTCCATCGTTTGGAGATTCATTCACTATCTCCCATTCATCTTGTTAGATAGTTATGTGTAAATAGTCCTAGTCCTATATATAGTAGGAATAGAATATGTCATAGTCCCACATGTAACAGGAGTAGAATATGTCCTAATCCCATGTGTAGTAGGAGTAGAAGATGTATTATATATAGGACTCATTGTATCATTGTTAATTATAGATTTTTCTCCCGTGTACTCTCACATGGTATCAGCGCTTCAATGAGAAAATTATCGTTGTGCGTCATTCCAACGACATCCGGGAAGAAAGATCTCATTGACGTGCAATTTTCCGGCAACTTCATCTTGTTCCCAAGGTTTATCACTGCTACAGTGGTACTATGCATATATCTGTACCACCATCAGATCCGAAACCCTTGTGCGACCAAACCCCAAAATTCCAGTCCCATCGGAACAAAAAAGTCAGTCACCGTGCGTCTTTCCGGTTGACGACTTAAGATTGAATTGCGTTATCTCCTTATCGGTAAGTGTTGTGCGAAAACCAACAGTACCATCTTGTTCGGAAAAGTTAGGCGACAAAACCTCAGTCAATCGCTGCAGCAGAAAGCACGCGCTTCCACGCGCCTCCAGAACTAGGGTTCCGACGAGCTACAATAACTTTTCCGACGCGTGTGATCCATTCCGACCACTTTTTGATAAAATTTCTTCAGGACAACTTGCTCGTCCAGTTATTCCGAGCCTACCCATATAAATTACATCAAATTCTGACAAATTTTATTTTTTCTGGCGTGAACAGTGATTTTCCGCTGTGAACAGTAATTTCATAAAAGTTTCTGTTTTCTTGTGGTGTTTTAAAACCTGTTTTGTAGTGTGGCATTCGGCTTAGTCTCACTATTTTCAAATTTTTCCGACGACCTTTCGGCCAACTTCTGCTTATTAGCAACTGTTGCGGCCAAACGCACACGCAAATATACGCGGTTGTCAAGTAATAAAGTGACTAAAAGTCGGATGTCGAACCCACGAGGACTTGTGATTAACTATTAACTAAATTAGACTATCCTAACTATCTAAACAAAAATTAAAACTAGAAGTATTTGATTTTAGACTAATTAAAATAAATAAAAACAAATAATGAACTTTGAACAGAGGAACAGCAGATTTTTATGTTATCAATATTATGAAAACGATCTAGGATTATGGGCTATCTAACAATCATATTGTATTTTTCAATTGAATTGACAAATTAATTTATCTGGTTTATTGGTTGACAGGGTTAATTTGCTCATAAGAATCTGTCGAGTTCTTACTCGCCTATTCAAGCTAACCTAACGCCTATATGTCTATGGAATTAGAACTAGCAAGAACGCATTTATAATTCCTGTAAATCAACCAAGCAAGGCAATTAGGTATATGTCTAACCTAATCGCGAATCCATTCCCCGATGCCCAGGTTCAAGAACTTGCTCTACTCAATCCTATATGCAATCTCGAATTCCCACTTTCGAGTTCAATTCTTGATTCGCAGATAGTATTCAATTGGTGATCAGGCAATTAAATAATTAAGTGCAGGATTGAATAAATAAACAAATATGAGAAATCAAGAATTCAAAATCAATATCCGAATAACAATAGTCATGAAAGAACCACAACCCTAGAGCGTGAGTTTTAGCTCCACATAGACATGGTAGCCAAACAACAAATCATACAAAGAAACATAAAAAATACTAAGTTTGGTGGAAGAAAAGATGAAATGCGGCCTCCACGGCGGCTTTGTGCTCACCCTTGGTCAAAAGTTCCTCTCAAAAACGTACTGCCCTCTCAAAATAGGTTTAGGTTGGCTTTTATATGAGTTGGGGACGTTTTGGGGTTGAAATAACCGAGTCCCGATCGAAATAAGACATGTTCACGTTTTGAGCGTCCAGGACAGCATGGGGCGCTGGCCCTGGCCCTCAACTTTTTAGCATTCTGTTTTGAGCGCCACAGGTAGCGCCCCACGCTGCCTGTGGCCCTCAAATGTGCACTTTTGCCTTTTCTTTCCATTTTCGCTCCAATTCGTGCGCTTTCGTCCCAAATCGCATCTGAATGATTCCTACACATAGATATACCACAAATTAGCATAAATCATTATATTATACATCCGAAATCTACGAGACATGAACACAATGTGAGGCAATATATGTAAAAATATGCATACTTTAAGCCAAACATCAGCAACCACTTGGTTTTGTTGCTCAGGGGGAATCTAGTGGCCTTGTATTAGTTACATATGTAACAAGCACGGTACATATGATTTTTATGCACCGGCTTGAGGGGGAGTGTTAGATAGATATGTGAATAATATCATATTTTCTCCCGTGCATTCTCACACATCTTCCTCTATAACTCCAGTTTCATCACCTACAGCTCTAGTTGCAGCTCAACCACCTATAGCTCCAGTTCCACCACCTAGTCCAGTTCAACCTTCTACAATTCCACCACTCTTGACTTATCATCGTCGTCCGCGCAGCATCAGGCCCAACTGATTCACGTCCTGCACCTGACCTTGCTAATACTGCGGACTTGTCTCCTCTTAGTCAATCGATTGCACTACGGGAAGGTATACGGTCCACACTTAATCCTAATCCCTATTATGTCGGTTTAAGTTACCATCATCTGTCATCACCCCATTGTGCATTTGTATCATCTTTGTCCTCTGTTTCCAACCCTAAGTCTACAGGTGAAGCATTGTCTCATCCAGGGTGGCGACGGGCTATGATTGACAAGATGACTGCTCTACATACAAGTGGTACTTGGGAGCTTGTTTCTCTTCCTTCAGGTAAATCGACTGTTGGTTGTCGTTGGGTGTATGCAGTCAAAGGTGGTCCAGATGGCCAAGTTGATCGACTTAAGGCTCGTCTTGTTGCCAAAGGGTATACTCAGATATTTGGGCTCAATTACAGTGATACTTTCTCTCCCGTTGCTAAAATAGCATCAGTCCGCCTTTTTCTATCCATGGTTGTTGTTCGCCATTGGCCTCTCTATCAGTTGGACATTAAGAATGCTTTTCTTCACGGTGACCTTGAGGATGAGGTTTATATGGAGCAACCACCTGATTTTGTTGCTCAGGGGGAGTCTAGTGGCCTTGTATGCCGGTTGCGCCGGTCCCTCTATGGTCTAAAGCAGTCTCCTCGAGCCTGGTTCGGTAAGTTCAGCACAGTTATTCAGGAGTTTGGCATGACTCGTAGTGAAGCTGATCACTCTGTGTTTTATCAGCATTCTGCTTCAAATCTCAGTATTTATCTGGTGGTTTATGTTGATGATATTGTTATTACCGGCAATGATCAGCATGGTATTACTAAGTTAAAGCAACATCTCTTTCAGCACTTTCAGACTAAGGATCTGGGCAGATTAAAGTATTTTCTAGGTATTGAGGTCGCTCAGTCTAGCTCAGGTATTGTAATCTCACAACGGAAGTATGCCTTAGACATTCTTGAGGAGACAGGAATGACAAGCTGTAGACCTGTTCACACTCCTATGGATCCGAATTCTAAACTTCTACCATGACAGGGGGAGCCGTTTAGCAATCCTGCAAGATATAGGCGGCTGGTTGGTAAATTAAATTACCTTACAGTGACTAGACCTGAAATTTCCTTTCCTGTGAGTGTGGTAAGTCAGTTCCCGGATTCTCCCTGTGATAGTCATTGGGATGCAGTTGTTCGCATTCTTCGATATATAAAATCAGCTCCAGGCAAAGGATTATTGTTTGAAGATCGAGGCCATGAGCAAATTGTTGGGTACTCAGATGTTGACTGGGCAGGATCAGCTTCTTATAGACGTTCTACATCTGGATATTGTGTTTTAGTAAGGAGGTAATTTACTGTCTTGGAAGAGCAAGAAACAAAAATGTGGTTGCTCGATCTAGTGCAGAAGCAGAATATCGAGCAATGGCTTGGCAACTGTGAGCTAGTTTGGATCAAACATTTGCTTAATGAGTTGAAATTTGGTGAGATCGGCAAGATGGAACTTGTGTGTGATAATCGAGTTGCCCTTCATATTGCATCAAATCCTGTGTTCCATGAGAAAACTAAACACATTGAGATTGACTGTTGTCAGAGAAAAGATACTCTCAGGAGATATTGCTACAAAGTTTGTGAAGTCGAATGATCAACTTGCAGACATTTTCACCAAGTCCCTCACTGGTCCTCGTATTAGTTACATATGTAACAAGCTCGGCACATATGATTTGTATGTACCAGCTTGAGGGGAGTGTTAGATAGTTATATAGTTAATATGTAATTAGTCCGAGTCCCATATTGAGTAGGAGTAGGATCTGTATTATGTATAGTTATAAATAAGGGTCATTGTATTATAATTAATTAATCAATATAGATTTTCTCCCGTGCATTCTCACAACCATAAAATGTCAGAGGTACAGTTTCTAAAGCTGAAACTAAGTGGTGAGTCGTGAGCTTATCATATGCACGTGAAGTATTGGACTGAGAAAACACGACCCAGATTTTAACATAACATACTTTAGCCCCCAGAACTTTGGTTCAGTTCTAAGGACGCAGCGCAGGCTGTATGAATTGGGCGCATCGAGTTCGACTCCTGCCACTGACACAAAATCTGGAATTTAAATGGAAGCAGCGTAGAGGTGCGGGACCATACTCCATCAAGTTTCAAACTTGTTCTTACAATTGGGATTGGGCTAGCTAACTCACATGGATGTCACGCTTATATAAAAATATTTACATAACATAGTTAATGGGCATGACTGGGAAGATTCCAAGCAAACATTCACATTTTACGACATCTTGTTGGGCATCCAGACTTACCGGGATCTTCTCCTCCCCCCCCCCCCCCCCC